CAAGACAGACCTGGTTCTATAGGCTTAGATAGCAACTGGTCTATCGCAGAAAGAAATGGCAACCTACTGCGGGAAAAAATCTTCTTTGTCAGTCATGTATCGAAAGATACATGATCGCCGAAGCGTATATGACACATGGCATGTAAATGACTGACTGATTTTCCAGTCGAATCCATTACATTCATTTACGTGCTAATACTCTCGATAAAAGTATGTATCCTCTTCTTCTCCCATCCAAGCTATGGGTAGATAGCAGGGCATACCGGGTTCTGTAGCCTTGGATTGCAACTGGTCTACCACAGAAAGAAATGTTAACCTACTGCGGGAAAAAAAACATCTTCCTCTTCAGTCATGTATCGAAAGATACATGATCGCCGAAGCGTATATCACGCATGGCACGTAACTGGCTGACTGACTTTCCAGTCGAATCCATTACATTCACTTAGTTACTAATACCCTTGGGAAAGGTAATGGACCTTCTTCTTCTCCCCTCCCCAGCTATGGGTAAATAGCAAGACAGACATGGTTCCATAGGCTTTGATGTCAACTGGTCTACCACAGAAAGAAATGGAAACCAACTGCGGGAAAAATATCTGTCTCGTCAGTCATGTATCGAAAGATACATGATCGCCTAAGCGTTTATCACGCAAGGCACATAACTGACTGACTGAGTGACTTTCAAGTCGAATCGATTACATTCATTTACGTGCTAATACCCTTAGGAAAGGTATGAATCCTCTTCTAGATTTTCCCGAAGGAGTAATGGATAGCGGCTCGGATTGAGGAATCGGAGACCCGAGTTCGAATTCCAGTCGAATCCATTACATTCACTTACGTGCTAATACCCTTGGGAAAGGTATGAATCCTCTTCTAGATTTTCCCGGAGGAGTAATGGATAGCGGCTCGGATTGAGGATTCGGAGAGTCGAGTTCGAATTCCAGTCGAATCCATTTCATTCACTTACGTGCTAATACCTTTGGGAAAGGTATGAATCCTCTTCTTATCCGCACCAGCTATGGGTAAATAGCAGGCCAGATTTGGCTCCAAAGCTTTCGATTGCAACTGGTCTACCGCAGAAAGACATGGTAACCTACTGCGGGAAAAAATATCTGTCTCGTCAGTCATATATCGCAAGATACATGATTGCCTGAGCATATATCACGCATGGTACATAGCTGACTGGCTTGTAAATATTTCTTATTACCAGTAACTATTTGCTGTGTAGAGGAATTGTTATACCGGTCAACAGCCATTTTCTTCAGGAATCTCATGAAATGTATTATATGTAATTGTGTCCGATGACTTCAAATATGTAATCGGATTTCTTTTATCGGATACAGCTTCTCTGATGAGATGACGTAGGCATGAAACACCGATCTGTCGCATCTGCACTCCGAAAAAAAATCTTATGGAGGTATTTATTGATTCGTATTTTATGATGTATTATGCAGTTTTATGAATTACTGATTTTTTTTTTATGGATTAGTTAAGCATTTGGCACAAAATATTCTATCACCCATATTTAGTATCTATATATTTTCAGTATTTACATTATTTGGACTATTGTCTTCATCTTTGTCACCATATTTATTACAACGTTTCGGCCTTTCAGTATCTGTCTATATTTCTGAGATGAGGTATTATATACACTATTTACATTATTCGGACTATTGTCCTCATCTTTGTCGCCATATTTATTACAACGTTTCAGCCTTTCAGTATCTGCCTATATTTCTGATATGAGGTATTATGTACACTATTTACATTATTCGGACTATTGTCTTCATCTTTGTCGCCATATTTATTACAACGTTTCAGCCTTTCAGTATCTGTCTATATTTCTGATATGAGGTATTATGTACTATTTACATTATTCGGACTATTGTCCTCATCTTTGTCGCCATATTTTATTACAATATTTCGGCCTTTCAGTATCTGTCTCTATTTCTGAGATGAGGTATTATGTACACTATTTACTTTATTCGGACTATTGTCCTCATCTTTGTCGCCATATTTGCATAAACGTTTCAGCCTTTCAGTATCTGTCTATATTTCTGATATGAGGTATTATGTACACTATTTACATTATTCGGACTATTGTCCTCATCTTTGTCGCCATATTTATTACAACGTTTCAGCCTTTCAGTATCTGTCTATATTTCTGATATGAGGTATTATGTACACTATTTACATTATTCGGACTATTGTCCTCATCTTTGTCGCTATATTTATTACAACGCTTCAGCCTTTCAGTATCTGTCTATATTTCTGATATGAGGTATTACGTAGACTATTTACATTATTCGGACTATTGTCCTCATCTTTGTCGCCATATTTATTACAACGTTTCGGCCTTTCAGTATCTGTCTATATTTCTTAGATCAGGTATTATGTACACTATTTACATTATTCGGACTATTGTCCTCATCTTTGTCGCCATATTTATTACAACGTTTCGGCCTTTCAGTATCTGTCTATATTTCTGATATGAGGTATTATGTACACTATTTACATTATTCGGACTATTGTCCTCATCTTTGTCGCCATATTTATTACAACGTTTCGGCCTTTCAGTATCTGTCTATATTTCTGAGATGAGGTATTATGTACACTATTTACATTATTCGGACTATTGTCCTCATCTTTGTCGCCATATTTATTACAACTTTTCGGTCACTGGTTTATGTAAACCAACGCTTTTATCCAATGGGCCATAGACTTTTAATCAAAATTTTATATATTTCATAATTTTTCTATTTATTTATTGGAACAATTGAGTAAGAAATGTAATCTTTCAACGATAATGACTAAAAAAAAGAGTTTCATTTTGTCGACCAGTGTTATCGTCACATCTAAAGCGAGATCCGTGAGCCGAACACCTTTGAACTATTAACATCGGGAAAGTCATAAATTCACTTCTTTGATTTATCTTGGTGTATGATAATACCAGGCCAGGCTGAGCTCTGTAGATTCAACTGGCAGACATTTTTTTTGAAAGCAAATACAGAATTGAATATATATATATATATATATATATATATATAAAGTCAACGAGAAACCACTCTTGAATATTTCTAGGAAGTTATATAGAAAGGCAATCTGTGGAGTGCTATGATATTTCAGGAATATATGCTTGAAAAACACGTTGGATAACATAAGTAAGTTTATTGTAAAACCAGTACAATAAGAAATAAGGTAACCGTTATGCGCAAGGTCGTAGCTAGTCAATCCAGTAAAGAGTGCAATCCATTGGAAGGTTGGTAGTTCTCGCGTAAGGCTGAGTCGTACTCAACAGATCCCGGCTAGAAATATTTACAAGCCGCCCAACGAGGTAGGATGTAGCACAAATTTAATGTGGGGCAATCCGAGCACATAGACTGGGCCAAAAATTCTCCGTAACCCCGCATAAACGGGTTCGAGTCTGTCTACCTGCCCGGACGAGACTCTGCCCGAAGACTGAGAGTTCGACAGTACAGCTGAAAAACATTTCAGCTAGACGGTATTTACTAGCCCCCCAACAAGGGTAGATATGGCACAAGGCCGAATTTAACGTGCGGTATCCGAGACCGTAGGCTCCGGTAAAAATTACCCGTAGACCCCGTAAAAGCAGTCTCCCACCTCCAGACGAGACTCTGACCTTCGGCATAGCCTCGTCTGTGTTCCACACTGCCCGAAGGCAGAGAGTTTGACAGTATAGCCAAAAAGGATTTCAGCTAGAATATTTAGCCACCACCCATGAAGGTTGCATATGGAACAAGGCCAGTTTTAACGTGGGTTTTCCGAGCCCATAGGCTCGGCTAAAAATATTCCCTTTCGAACCCGTATAAACCGGTTCAGGGTGAGTCAACCTCCCCGAACGAGACTCTGCCCTTCGGCGGAGGCTCGTCCGGGTTTTTCTCTGGCCGAAGGCATTGATTTCAAGTGAATAGCCTAAAAGGTTTCGGCAGGTATATTTAGCCACTCCCCACAAGGGTAGTATGTGGAACTGGGTTGGGTTTAACGTGGGTTCTCTGAGCCCGTAGGCTCGAGCAAATAATGCCCGTAGAAAACGAATAACGGGGTCGGGTTGGTCAACCTACCCGAACCTTACACTGCCCTTCGGCTGAGCCTCGTCTGGGTTCCTCTCTGCTCAAAGGCATTGAGTTCGACCGTCTAGCCGAAAAGATTCGCTTAGTATATTTAGCCCTCCCCAACTCTCATGAGGATTGCATGTGGCACAAGGCCGGGTTTAACGTGCGATATCTGAGCCCGTAGGCTCGGCCAAAAATATTCTCTTTCGAACCATTATAAACGGGTTCAGGGTCAGTCAACTTCCCCGAACGAGACTCTGCCCTTCGGCTGAGCCCGTCTGGGTTCCTCTCTGCTCAGAGGCAGAGAGTTCGACCGTCTAGCCGAAAAGATTTCGGGTAGTCTTTGTAGTCCTTTGACTTACAGATATTTATTGGTAGTTACTGCCTATAGTGTAGTCACTTATTGGGGTAACAGGTTATTCCATTACATCACATACTTTCTGATGATATATGGTATTAAAATATTCAAGAAAAAATATAGAAGAGCTATTTTTTGAAAATGATCAAAGCAGAAAAATGTTACATATTTCACAAGCCATTGTTAGCTGATGCGGTGATCATTACATTAGCCATCATTCCGATCTAGCTTCGCAAAATCTTATTCCGTTTGTGAACTTGTAAAATCTTTTCCTAGGAAAGACTGGTGGAAATTAAATCAAATAGACGCCTGCGCATGTGCCGAGAACTAAATTAAAAAAAAAAATCTAAGCACAAAAGACCTTCACAAAGTATTTTTTTTAAAGAACGGACATCCATGCATCCGCGCGCATGCGCACGTGTGCCTACCCACTACATCATCCAATAATTTCCGTTCTGTTTCGTTCCTGGATCTTCTGGGTTTTTTTTTCTTTTTAGTATCGTTCTTACTCGCCAACCTCCGCCGCCCTTTCATTATCTGATCCTTATTCTTTCAAGTCGTTCCTCGCCCACTTATGAATCTAAAGGCTGGAAAACAGAAGAGGAAGACGTGGGGCCCATTCTTAAAATGGTTCGATTAAAACGCCAGAGTGGTTTCTGTGTATACAGACAAAGATGGCCGCCGATCTCCGGTGCTTCTGGCTTCTTAAAAAGACGGTAATGCGTTTCTCTGGAGAGATACTCTCTCCCTTTTTCTCTCATTTTTTTGCGTTTTGTGTGTGAGATAGATATAGAGAGAACTACGGAAGAAAAAGAATAAAGCAGGAAAGAGTAGAGAGAGAGAGAGAGAGAGGAAGAGAGGAAAAGAGAAATAAAGAGAAAGGTTCTATAGAATATAACAATTAAAAGGAAAATAAAGTAAAAAAAAAAATCAGTTAATTCCAAAGTGACAGAGAAGTAAATAAAGGAAAAAAAAAAGAATATGCCTGGAAAAGAACGTAAAATGAAGGGTCACAAAAAC